TTCAGTAACGCTGATCAGGGATAAACTTGCCCTGGAGTGGCATAACTTTAAGCCACCTAAAGCGTGCTTAAAACTTGTTTCAGGTGTTAATGTATGGATAATCCAGGAGTTAAGAGCTCCAGGAGCCACCTAAAATTAATGTGCAACAAGGCCCTAACACTGATCAACATTTGAGGAGTTCACAGTGTAATGCGTAACAAGGCCCTCCCATTCTTGTTTCCCTTGTTAGAGATAACTGTTATGTTATTAATTATGTTACAAATCTGATCAATGTGATTGAGCTGAGAAAATGGCATTTGGGAGGTCCTGATTTTTAATTCTTGATTTGGCAACTTTAATATCTTTTTATTTATTTATTGTAATACCAAAAATAAATATTTTATATGGACTAGATAATAGAAATTTAAGTATTCTTCAACTACATGCAGCAAAATACAGGTTCTATGATATATAGGACTTTGTTCTGTACTCTAGCAAAAGAAGAGTCGATAATTTTATTTTAAGCAAGAATGCATTATGAATATCAACTGCAACAGAAATTATATGTGAAACAGTTTTTTGCTCAAGTCAGTGTGAGTTTTGCTATTGACTTTAATGGAAACAGGATTTGGTCCACAGTGAGCAGATCAACAAAAAATATCAAAAGTGTAACTCTAAAATAAGTCACAAAAATTGACCGAAATATAGATAAATCCTATCAGCCAAGTTCTGGCTACTAGATAAGGGATTGGGCATACATGTTACATTTTTGTGGAGAGTCTAGTTAGTAATGGCCCATTAACAGACTCCTATTGCCTGGCATTTCTGCCCACTGTAGGGATAAGACAGAGGAAATAGGCTGGTTTTAATTAACCTTGCCTCATGTTCACTATAAGCTCTGATCCTGCAAAGGTTTTTTTGTTCTGGGCTTATAACCAGAATGGGTCAACATTTTTCAAAATTAATCATCAGCATTTTGAATTTTGATGAATGCATGTCAATATTTTGACAGGAATTTCTGTAAAAATGCTGTCCCTTTTCTGGTTGAAATTTTGATGAAGAATTGTACAAATTCCAGTTTTTCATTTATATTAAAAAAATTGAACTCCCAAAAGAGATACTCTAGACTATTTTTATAACAATTTCAGCCTGCTTTTGAGCAACTTGGCTTCTAACTCCTGAAGTGCTAACCCACTCCACCAGGATGCTCCTACCCTGTGCCAAGCATGGCTAGTTCCCAGTGTGACCTTTTTGTGAGTTGCTAGTGGAGGGGTAAGACAGAGTTAGACCACATATATCTATACAAAATTCTCTGTATTTATAAAAAGTTTGGGACAAATCCAATCTTAGGTGTCAGAGAGTCAATTAACCTTCAAATCCTGCATTTCTGAGGCAGTCAGGTTCTAGTACATATTGCCTCTTACATACCACACCAGTAACAAAGGTATACACTTGTTATCTGATATTATGTGAATGTCTGTTGTGCCTCAAAAACAAGGAATTATTTAAAACCAAGAAATGACAGAAATGTAACTATACCCTGGGGTATATATTTAAAATACAATAATTGCTTATTTTGTGCTTTATTTAAGGCAAATCAAGATTCTAAGGCAAGCCAGAATTGTGCACATAGCTCTCTAAAGAGGAACTTCAATGTTCCAAATGTACTAGATATGATTTCTGAACTGAAAAGAATTTCCTGAGTGTCATTACTGTTTCTGCCTTCTCAGCAATCACAGAGGCTCACATCTATCATTTTCTTTGTTCTGTGAGAGACAGACTTCTTGCAAAAAAAAAAGGAAAAGGAAAAGGAAAAGGACTGGAAATATTTACTGAGTTGCAATGAAAAAATAAAGATGCAGTTTACATAATCCTTACATTTCTCATGTAAACAGCTTATAATATATAATATATACTATATACCATATAATTATGTGTAAAATAGTCATATGCTACAGATCTTTATGCTTTGACTCAATATCTTTCTATATTTTGAAATGTTAAGTTTAATGTGCATCGTACGAAATGGAAATCTTTAGTTGTATGTACTGTAATCTGCTTTTAAATGAATGAATATTTCTAAATGGAATGTATGTTGGTTATTGGTCTTTATTATTCTGTGTTTTAATACACCAGACCATTCCACTGAAGCATCTGATATACCTTATTACATTCATTTTCTATCAGATTTTCCCTGGGATTAGCCAAATCACTTTAAAGTTGCACGTGACTACACATGCACAAGAGAGACCTTTCTTCTTTCAGATACTTTGTCTATTTGCAATCTTACCTGACAATTATCTTTTAATTCCTATTTTTGTAACCAACAAGATATTAATATGAAAATCTTTACTGTTTGTTTATTTTGTGAATTTGACAGCACGTTGTAGGATCACTTCTGTTGTCAATGGCTAATTGTTTGGCTCACAATATAATATCAGTCATATAGTACTCTGGAGGGGACAGAAGAATTCATGTGCACCCAGTCTTCCCCCAGATCCTTTGAGATAATAGATAAGGTACAATGACTTATGGAAGTGGAGCAGGAAAGGTGTTTAATTTTGGAGACATTTGCACCTGGAGTCAGAAACAGTTGAGGAACCTCCATCCATTTCTTTGCTTTCTAGAAGCCACGTCTTTAAAGGAACTCATATCTTACTCCTCACACATGCAGCTCAGCTGGCCACTGCACAGTGATAGAGCACTAGCTATGCCTATTGTCCACCTCTCATTGGCTCATTTAGGAGACCAGGCACTTTAGGGGCATATGTATGAAGTAGTCCCTGCACTTCCTTGAACACTTGAGCTCTTGCCAGCCTTAAATTGGGTGGAATGAGGAGGAGTGGCTGCTCTTTATTTTCTTCCGATGCCCTCATATGATTCTAGAACTTAGCCCCACGTAAACTGTAACCCTAGGGAAATGCCATACCTGTTCCTTCTAAATCTTATTAAAATAATTCAGTAATACTCCAAGGAAGGCAAAAGCTATCTTTATATTACAATGTATTTAACCACTACTAAAAAGATGATAGAAGAATTCTGAAATTATTTCTGCCAGAGTGCCCCCAATAATAAAATAGTGTTGTGATACTATATTATTAATGAGACTCCTCCATCTAAGCTTAAACACGTATTAACCAGGATACTTATATAGTATAGAAACAGACCTATGTTGGCTGGCTTCCGAAACCAATCTTTCTGTGTTAGGAACCAACACATCACTGTTCCTTCACTATCCCATGTGCTAGGAATGATGAGGAAATCCTTTTCCCGCTTTAACACTAAACTTTTCCAGGTAATTAAAATATATATTTCTTTATATCCAATAAATTCATTCTTTCTGGACAGTACAACAATACTATTCCTAATCAAAGGTAACTACAGAACATTCATGGAACCCATACAATTATACATTTCTCTGGCATTTTCTCCAATATGGCACTTTTTTGTGGAAGTAGGTATGGGCCTGCTTCACTGAGAAAAATGTTGAAGAAAACAGTGTTTCTATCAAAAACAAATGACTTACGATTTATCAAATACAATTTTTTTTCTCCAGTTAAAATGATAATTTCTGCAAAGGCTGTCACTGCTGAATTAGGGCCACCATATTTCACTGGTCTTAAAATGGAAACCCCTACTTCTCCACTCACCTTGCTTTTAGTATACTCAACAGTTTCTGAGCTCCAGTCTTAGCTGAGCATGCCTATGTGTGTGTTGGGGGGACAGAGTGCTAGAAAGCAAAAGCTGAGGGGCAGACGTACAGATTTATTGCAGGCCTAACTGGCTCTTCCAGCTCAACACTGATATCAACTCTTCATACATACCAGAGTATAGTGGAGGCTAAAGTACTAAAGAAAAGTACTCAGCATAGGGTGACAAATGTCCTGTTTTCACAAGTCCTGGTCAGTGGCATAGGGCACTTGTTGAGTGTCCAGGGGCACACTATTCTGCTGACCCCACTTGCTCCCCCTCTCACCAGATGTACAATGGTGTGATGCTGCTCTGCCCAGCTTCTGTGGCTAGGCAGAGGCAGTGCAGGGTTTCCCCCATGCTTGTATAGGCTCGGGGGGGATGGACCCCATTCAGCTCATGGGTTCCCCAGATGCATTGATCTGTGCAGCACTGCTCTGCCCAGCTCCTATGGCCGGACAGGGGAATCCTGGCACCGCCTCATAGTCAGTGCCTGGGGCAGGTGCCTCTCTTGCTCTGCCCTAATTATGCTACTGGTCCTTGTTGTCCCTCTGAAAACCAGACAGAATCATTCATTTGGCAAACACTCAGAAGGATTGTTTAAAACATGCCTGTTCCAGTGAACATGGGACTTACGGGGCACATTCACACATGCAGGGGCATGTGCTTACAGCATGAAAAATACTAGTGACACAAATTTGTGCCACTACTTTTTGCCACACTGCACGCCCCTGCATGTGTGCATTGTGGTGTGGGGCAAATTACCCTGCTTTGGGGAAACTGCCCTTTCCCTGCTGCTCCTGGCTCCCAGCACGCTGGAAGAGCTGAGGGACCATTAAAGAAGTGGCGATGTTTTGACCCGCAGCCAGAGTGTCTCCTGGAAGGACCAAGCCTCCATGTCTGCCAGCACATGCTCCTCTCATGTGCATTGTGCTGCTTTTTTCACACTATTTTTTTTTTTT